AAAAAATGAATTTTAAAATAATACATTTCAAGTTTATACAGGGCTCATCAAAATTATAGCCCGCCTTTTATCGTTGAGATTTTTCAAAGAAGATGAATAGCTAGATCAAATCTTAATAGTGATTTCGATAGCCCTTGAAGTTCTCTATCGAAAACAGTATAGGTCAAAATCCCAGAAAAAACTTTCCTTAGAAAGTTTTCCAAAAAACCAAAATGCTCCAAGGGTGGGTGGGTGTGGGTGTAAAGTGCATGAGTGCCCACGCCCACGCCCATGCCCCACCCACCCACACCCACACCCACCCACACCCACCCACACCCACCCACACCCACATCCACACCCACACGCACACCCACACCTACCCGCACCCACACCCACACCCACCACCACCCACACCCACATCCACACCCACACCCACCCACACCCACCCACACCCACCCACACTCACACCCACATCCACAGCCACACCCTCACCCTCAAAGTACTATGTATTTGATTCTTCGTGAGTCATTTTATACTAGTATCTAGCCATTTGATAATCTAAATCAATAAAAGTGAAAAACCCTATAGTTTTTCGTGGTAATTGTTCTCACCCTCACCCTCACCCTCAAGGGTATGTTGATTTCCACCAAGTTGGGAATTGTTTCTCCTAAGAACAATATGAATTTGGTAAAGTTTCGAAAAAAATAGTTCGATCATTGATGAAACAGCGAAAAAACCATTGACGTTCTTCCATCCATAATGAATTCTGAAATGAATTGATAAGTTCATTTGCTCTTTCCTTTACATTTTCATTCTGAGATATTTTTGCTCTCATTTTTAATTGAAATACTTTCAAATTCGATAAATAATGACGGATGATTTTTTTGCCATTGATAACCATCGATCAAACTGAATATAAGTTGAACATTTAAGGAGACCCTCCCGCTTTCCGGCGTTTCTAAGAAACGGCCGGGCGAAAATTCTTGAAACTTTCAGGGCAGATGGGCCTCGAGTAGTAGAGCAAAAGTTACCATAGACACAAATTTGCCAGACCTCGTCTTCATGGACTTCTGGAGAGTCCTAAGATCCAAAAACGGCCTAAAGTTTTTCTCCCTACAGATCCACAAATTTCATCCGTTTGAGCTGAAATATTTACTGTAAGTAGCAGGTCCCAATCCTAGGGTATACTTTTTTTTTTGAATTTCCTAAAACTCACGTCAGGAGAAGCAGAACAGTGAAGACCTCGTAAAAAATGTGGTTTTTCAGGATGCTACAAAATTTTGTGAATCCTGCCAAATTTGTTTGGTAGAAGATATCAACAAAAGAAAAAAAGTATATCCCACAAATTAGTTGAAGTATCGCCAAAAAAATTTTCAGCCCGATCGGACTTAAATTCGCCGAGAGAAAGGGGGAAAACTTGTTTTTGTCATCCAAAAAACTAGTTTCGAGAAAAATGCAAAATAAAAAAAAAACTTGTAGAAAAGTTTTCTTTTTTCGTTTTTACGTGAGTATTTTTGCTGATATTGTGATAGAAAGGGTAGTTTGGCATGGAGAATCCGAATCTGATGTCAGATTTAATTGATTAATTATTTAATTAATTGAGTTCGGTTAATTAACGTATTTTCTGGAAAAATTGAATTAACTCATGTCACAATGAAGAATGTGATTCTAATGTCAATTCTGATTGAATAATTAATTATTATTTATCAGTTAATTACAAAAAGGTACTAAACATTCCGATGAAACGTCTTTAGAAGTAATCATGGATGAAACATGTGTACCTGAAATGCATTTAAATTAGTTAAGTAATCAATTACTAATTGTTAAGAACTTTTTTCTGTTTTTTCAAAAGTAGTCAAGCATGAGCAATATGAATGTGTAAAGACATCGAAAATTGTCTCGCCTTTAGTCTTATTATTATTTGTTACTTTTAAATCTTTAGTCGTATTACTCTCCACTTACGAATCTTTCTTTACTAAGTTTCATCAGATATCTTATAGTTTCATATAAACTTTGTTTACTTATAAGAAGAAACAAAAATAATAAGCTTTTATTCATGGCAACCAGTATCAAAGTGCAAAAGACAATACGTTCAAGGTATGCTTATTTATTTAAAAATGTGTTAATACAATTTGTCAAACGCTCCTGATGCATAGTTATAATTTTCTTGTTGATTGACACGTTGTTCAGTTAATATTCGCTGACGTCGTCTATTTTGTTGAGTTGCTTTGGTTTTGATTTTATGTTCTTTTAGCCATTGATTGTCAATTAACTTCAACATTCCAATACATGCTGGATGGCATTAATTACTGCCGGTGCTAGACTGTGTTTTCTAGGATCAAATGATTTGTATTTGTATATATGGCACTTGCTGGATCACAATAATCATGATTAGGATTTTCACGTGTAGAACTACAATGATAAAATGCAGCTAAAATATAAAATATTGATGAGAGATATTAATGTGAACAAGACATACCCCAACAAGCGACTTTCATCGATTCCAAATCATTGACATGAGATCGAATAGCTGAACCATAGTAAATAGTTAATTGACGAATTTTATCATCGGTTAAACATCCATTTCGTCCTCCAATTGGTAGATTATCTTCTAATTTTGCACCTTTATAATTTTTTTTAATTGTTTCTAGAGCAGTGCGCATTCTATATTAAAAAAGTACATGTATTATCATAAAGATAACCATATTATCGTTTAGAAAAATGATTTATACATTGAAGACGCCGAATAGGAATTTTTCCATATGGTTGAGCATCGAAAAGTGCACGTTCATTGTTGGCATCACCGTCACCGATATATGTCGTGTATCGTAGAAGATTCCAAATGTTAGTAAAAATCTTTCAGCGTAACTTCCTCAAACCTGCAGCCTCCATTCCAGATGATGAACCTGAATGATTTTCTTCACAACCACTCACGATATGTTCTGCTAAAAGTTGTTGATACATTTTAGGACTGTGTTCCCTAATCCCTAATAAGCCAGAACAAGTGATACAGTTCCGACTTACGAGGGAACTTCCCCAGGTGTTTAAGCCCTTTAGGTCCCATCTTTT